AATATCAATAGCGCTGAGGTTGAGAAACCCTGCTTTAGACCAGTTCACTCTTCTTTTGTTTTGCTAAATAAAGCACCAAATAACCTGAGTCCACCAGTCACAGACCCACATCATCAGCATGGAAATTGCACAGAGGATGTAGCATCTCACATACCCACAAGGGCCACACAGCTCAGGGAAAGACCACCAGGCAGCCACCCTAGTGATCCATAATCTTCACTGAAATAAACTGGGCTGGGAGTAGCCATGAACAGCCCAGACCCCTTTCCCACATCTGAGCCCAGAGCTACAGCTCAGCAGGAAGCCAAGTCTGTTTGACAAGTGTAAGCTCCTTGTCAATACTGCTAAAGGTTTCAAAGCCTCTCTCTCCAAGATGGAGGTGTCCTCTGAAGGAGAAACTTCCCAGCACAATTCAAACGGCAGTAGCTTCCTGGAGCGGAGCCTGACCTTGTGCGGGCGGGAGCTCAGTATAGGGGGGAGCAACGTTGATTTCTGAAGACTGTCAACTGAGAGCTACTTTGGGCTGAGTTGTAGGGAACTGGAGATCTATAAACCTTTTTATGTGCAGAGAGAAAGGAGCCAGCATGGTTTCCAATGAGTTTCCCAGGCGAGAGGAGACAACCAGAGGCTGAGTGACAGTCGGACAAGGAGCAAGTTTCCCTTTTATTAACAGGCTCATAGAGCTACTTTAAAAAATAAATTAAAACTAGAAAAATATCCTTGGATTTCCTGCTGGAAGGGAAGGAGGATGGGGGCTGTGCTGGTCAGCCTGGCAGTGACATTGCAGGGACAGGCTCTTGCAAGATCAGCTGAATGTTCGGAGGCTGCAAAGCACACCCTAGGGCAAGTAGCTCTTGAGCTTTGACCCCAGGTAATTGGCACTTGCATTCTGAAGCCTCAGGTGAGTCCTGAGACAAAAAGCCCATCCCCAAGCCCTGACTCTACAGTCTGGAGGAGGGGACCTCTGAGAGTTCCTTCGGCACAATTCATTCAGGCCCTGAGATGGAGACCTGTAAATCACCATCAAGCCTGTCCTGAGACTCCTCACTCATCTGGAGGCAAGCCCCGGAGCCTGGTGTCAAATGGATGCTCCAGCCATTTTTCTTGCCTGTCCTCTGCTCCTCCTTTCCCCAGCTCCAGTTTCCTTTCTGTCTCCTTTCTGTTCCTTTCCCTCCTTCCTTCTGTTCTTTTTTCCCTCCTCAAAGGATTCCAATTGCCACTGTGTAAAGTGAGGCACACCTCATTTCTCGTGTGAGCAGATATAACCAGGACATGTCACTCCACCGTATATAATTCTCAGTGGCTTCCCCTGGGGTCAAGCAAGCCCCTAGCATGGAACACAAAACATCATAGCTGACTCCAGACAGCTTTCCAATCTCACCCCCAATACCACTGCGCGCGCGCGCACACACACACACACACACACACACACACACAGATACATCACTGTCTGCCCTTCCCAAGCATGGCATATCATTTTAAGCCTCTACTCACAATTATAATAAGCTAACGTTTAATAAATGGTTTCCTCTATGCCAGAAGATTTCTATTGATTCATTCATTGAATTTTCACAGGAATTGGATGAAGTTAATTCTGTCGTCCTCATTTTTCAGATGCAGAAACAGGGGTTTAATGAGGCTAAAATGACCATCGGAGATGACGTAGTGCTACAGATGGGATTTGATCCCAGCCAGGTCCAACAGCACAACCACAATGACCCTTGCTGCCTCCACACCTATGTCCCTGGACCTGCCCGTCTCCCCATTGGAAACCCTGACTCTTTTTCTAGGTGAAATAAAACCATTTGCTTTTTTTTTTTTTCTGTATAAACTGACTCTGATATGTATGTGCCCTGAAACTGTCTTTTTTTTTTTATTTCGCTTAACATATGTATTGAATGCCAAAAACCACGAGAGACACTGGCACTACAGTAATGAATAGAAAGCAACCTTCAAAATGAGGCCACTGGATTTTAGATTTTATGAAGCCAGGCACCAGATCTGTGTTGTTTGCTAGGTCCCTGAGACCTAGCACGGGACTTGCTATGGAGGAGGCATTCGAAATTCATTGAACCTGCACGTTGTGCACATGTACCCTAGAACTTAAAGTATAATTTTAAAAAAATCCATTGAACACAGAAAGTGGAAGATTGAATAAATGAAGGCAAATTCAGAGGGAGCTGGCACCTCCTTGCTGAGATTCCATCTTGAAAATAACCCTGAGGCAGTATCCTTAGAGAGACGGTCCCATAGCCATAACCCATCAGCACTACGGATGCCATCCTTCATTCATTCAATAAATGTTAATCAGACTCCTGTTAAACACTGCGCCCTAGGTTAGGTGCTGGAGATGACAAAGAATAAAACACAGTCCCTGCCCTTGAGGGCGTTAGCTGGCAAGAGAGCAAAAGACAATTACAGTGTGGTGTCCTGAGTCTGCTACCACAGGAGTCAACTATGAAGTGAGGATTATGAGAGGACAGGGATGAGCTCCTAATCATATGTGAGAGATCATGGGAGGCTTCCTGGAGAAAATGACATCTGAGCAGAGACTTGACAGATGAGAAGGAATTAGCCAGATCTGAGAGAGAGAGAGAGAGAGAGAGAGAACACCTGGAGAGAGAGAGAGAGAGAGAACACCTGGGGATGGTATTGAGAAACGTGCTCCAGGTGGAGGTGTCAAGATACATGGGATGCAGAGGCGAAAGAAAAGAGAAACTTCATTATGGCTTGTGCACGTGTGGAACATAAAAAAACTGGTAGGCAATGGTCAGGTGCAGTGGCTCACGCCTGTAATATAAATGCTTTGGGAGGCTGAGGTGGGAGAATCATTTGAAACTGGAGTTCAAGATCAGCCTAGGCAACATAGCAAGACCCTGTCTCTACAAAAAGCCTTTTTAAAAAAATTAGCCAGTCTTGGTGGTGTGTGCCTGTAGTTCCAGCTACTTGGAAGGCTGAGGCAGAAGGATCCCTTGAGCCCAGGAATTCAAGGCTGCAATGAGCTGTGATTGTGCCACTGCACTCCAGTCTGGGGAACAGAGCAGAACCTGCACCTCTAAAATTAAAAAGAAAAAAAGAAAAAAATAGATGTTGGGCACTAACACTAAAGAAAGAGTTCCTCTCATGCTATGTGAAAGGCTTGAATTTTATTCAGAAGGATTGTTGATCTCATTCACACAAGATAAAGAAAGAAATAAAATAAAGAAAGAAAGAAAAGAAAATAAAGACGTCGGTTTGATACTCTGGAAGGAGAATGGGATTCCCAGTCTGCCAAATCAAAAAAAAAAAAAAAGAGAAAAACCCCAAAAACTATGGCAGCAGCACCATAGTGGCCCTTTCCCTCTGTTTCTGCCTCTGAGAAGTTTCCTGGGACGCTGGTTCCCCTACGGAGGTAGGGGTGTGGTGGGCAGTAACTCATCTGCCTCAGGGATTCCTATCCATCAGCCTCCCTTTGATGATATTTTGCTACTTGTCACCTTTGTCAAACAAATTCCTATTTTTTAAATTTTTTCTTTATTGGATTTTATAATATTGATCAGATTAAAGCAAAATTTTAAAAAGGGGCAAGTACGGTGAGGAGAGAAGGTAGGAGATTAAGAGAAGGTACAGTGTCAGTCCTCATATATCGCGGCTGAGTGGCAGCCTTGTCTCATCTTTGCACTCCTAGGAGCAATAAACGCCAGAAATGCTTGGGCGAGGAAAGAGCAAGTTGAAGAAAATGATGTTAAGTTTGACTCGGTTATTGCTAGAAAAGCTGACACTGTTATCACCGCTTTGTGACTGGGCCTTCACTCTGCTTGGAATATTTTTCCTCCTCTCTCCTCCACTGCACTTTTCAAAATTCAACACAGTTATCTTCAATTCGGTTGACATTAATTAAGCACCAACTGCATGCCAAGTCCTGGGAAATCAGAGAAACATGCCCCATTCACTGTCATTGAGGATCTCAAAATCTTAAGCCATAATCAACTAGAATTGGATTACAGGAAATTTGCTTTAAATAGTCATTACCCTTGATAATACCCTTTGCAGCATGCTTTATACATGTGTTATCGCTTCTAATCCTCACAGCAACCCCAGGAGGTAGGTTTCCACTGAGCCTCGTTTTATGAATGAGGAAACAAGCTCTTAGAGGCTTAAAGACTTGCCCGAGATCACCCAACCAGGAAAGGGTGAAGGTGGGATTCTTAATCTAAAGGTTCGGTCACCACAGTATACATTTTGTAAGTGGCAGGGCTAAGTCTTGAGTCATTGTCTGCAGGAATCCAAACTCCCTGTAACTAATCATCAAGTAATAGCACTATTTGGAAACTAGGTTTAATGCTGGTATGTGGTTTGAACTCCAATACCGCATTCTTCCCACACAACATAAAGATATACTCTGTGTTGTGAGACTATCAAAGGAGACTTCAGTCATTCCATCCAGGACTGGAGAAGACTTCAAAAAGGAGGGGACACTGAAAATTAATCACGGTAACAGTCTCTACCATTTAGTGGGCATGTATTGTGAGCTTGATGCTGTACCAGGCTTTAATACATCATCTCATTTCATCCTTAAAACAACAGTCTATCAGCTCCATTCTGGCTGCCATAGCACAATACCACAGACTGGGTGGCTTACAGATAACAGAAATGTATTTCTTACAGTTCTGGAAGCTGGAAGTCCAAGATTCGGCCGCCAGCATGATCTGGTTCTGGTGAGGGTCTTTTTCCACACTGCAGACAATGATTTTCTCATTGTCTCCCTACCCAGAAAAAAGAGTGAGTTATTTGAGGTGTCTTTTATTAGGTCACTAATACCATTCACGAGGGCTCTACACTTACGACCTAATCACTTCCCAAAGGCCCCACCTCCTGATACCATCACTTTGGGCTTTAGAATTTCAAAATACGAGTTTGCAGGGGACACAAACATTCAATGCATAATACTCTCTAAGCTAAATTCCTGTGATGAAGACTTGGTTTCCCACCCAACCACTATGTACCCCCTTCTACCTTGCTAAAAGAGCCGGCATCTTCTTCACTATCCTCCATGCAGCCAGTGAAGTATGGGTGCCTTCCTTCCTTACTAAGAGAGCTGGCATCTTCTTCACTATCCTCCATGAAGCCAGTGAACTTCGGGTGCCTTCCCAACCCATGAATCTTGACTTCTCTAAGCCAAGCAATCTTCAAAGCACAAGCACGTGACTCTGCTCTGGTCATTGAAATACGATGGAAATTCTGCTGTAGAGCTTCTGGGAAAGGTTTGCTCACTGTGAAGAAAAAAAAAAAAACCATGGCATGGATGTTTTCTTTGCTCTATCTGGGTGTTGTCAGCTGTATATACTATCTAGATAAGCAGGCTTCATCTTAGATGATGCAGGATCCAGCCTAAGAAGAAAAGCCAATATTGTGTAGATGTCAGCACAGAAAAACAGAGAACAAAATCAACAAAATAAAAACCTGATGACTTGATAACATGGTTGACCTGCTGACTTAGTCACCTCTGGGACCACTGGACCCCAGTCTTTTTGTATAAGCCACTTTTAATTATGTTTTCTGTAGCCAAGAGCATCCTAAATGAAAACAGGATCACTGACCCCAATGTATAGAAGACCACACTGAGACTCACAGAGACTGATAAGTGTCAGAACCAGGATTCAAACTCAGGATTTCTGGCTTCTAATCTTGTGGTCCTTCTGTTGCACACCACAAATGAGATGAAAGTTAAGAGGCAGAAAATGGGGTGGGAGGGAGTTGAACAACCCAGGCTGGGGAAATAGTATCAGAAGGGTTTGGAAATCAAAATGAAAGGAGAGTGTGCTTGTGTCAAAAGACAGCTGGTTGGGCTGGTGGACGCTGAGAGGTTGGGAAGATGGATTCATTCCCAGTGGGGCTGAAATACCAAGTCAGAGTGAATTCCATTCATTGTCACTGATGAAAGGGGTAGAGAGAGGCTTTCTTTCTTTCTCTTTTCCTTTTTTTTTTTTTTTTTTTTTTTTGACACGAAGTCTCGTTCTGTCACCCAGGCTGGAGTGCAGTGGCGTGATCTTGGCTCACTGCAACCTCTGCCTCCCAGATTCAAGCGATTCTCCTGCCTCAGCCTCCCCAATAGCTGGGATTACTGGTGACTGCCACCACGCCCGGCTAATTTTTGTATTTTTAGTAGAGAAGGACTTTCTCCATGTTAGCCAGGCTGGTCTCGAACTCCTGACCTTAGGTAATCCACCTGCCTCAGCCTCCCAAAGTGCTAGGATTACAGCCATGAGCCATTGTGCCTGGCCTATATAGAGGCTTTCATCTCATTTGGTGGTGTACAATGGAAGGAATACAAGATTAGACGCCAGAAATCCTGAGTTTGAACCTGGTTCTGAAACTACTGCTTAAGCAATGTGAATACTTTATAGTTATAGGCTGAAAGAGATCGGGGGGCACCATAGGGAGCCACTGTCACAGCCCCAGTTTGAGGGACTGGCTCTAGGGCAGTGGGGGTGGGTATGGAAAGAAGGGAACAAGAGTAGAAATCACTATTGATACCCGCCAATGAATTTGGTAAGTGGCTGACAGCAGCAAATGGGAAAAGGTCAAAGTGACCTTCCATCAACACCCATCCACCCTACCGGAGAAAAGCTTTCCTCAGCTACGCTGATATGTGTTCCCTCATCAGCAGGAAGGATGACTTGTGTATGCATGTCTGTTTCAGATAATGATTTCTCCAACTCTCTATGTTCCAGGAACCTGTATCAAAAGTTCTTCTTGGCACGGTGGAATGGCTCATATGTGTAATCCCAGCACTTTGGGAGGCCAAGGTAGGCAGATTGCCTGAGCCCAGGAGTTTAAGACTAGACTGGGCAATATGGTGAGAAACCCTGTCTCTACAAAAAACACAAAACGAAATTAGCCAGGCATGGTGACATGCACCTGTAGTCCCAGCTACTTAAGAGGCTGAGATGGGAGGATCACCTGAGCTCAGGAGGTCGAGGCTGCAATGAGCTGAGATTGTGCCACTGCACTCCAGCCTGGGTGACAGAAGGAGATCCTGTCTCAAAAACAAAAAAGTTCTTGTGCTTGCAATGGCCTGCACATCTGCCTTGTTTATGTGTCTGATGGAGTGTTCTACCACTCCCCTGCTCTCTATGTCCAGCTCAACCCACCTTCTTTCTGCTACTCAAATATAGCAAGACGGTTCCCAGCTCATGGATCTTATCCTTGTTCTTCTTTCTGCCTTAAATTCAACTTCCAGGTTCCTTTTCTTCTCATCATGCAGGTCTCAGCTAGAATTTCACCTCCATAGAGAAGCTTCCCTAGAGGTCCTACCCACCTCCCCCAGAGAACTGCAGAGAGAAAAAAAGAGAAAGAGACTGACTTTGTCTTCTGCTTTTGACATTATGAGAAAATCCTGGGTGCTTTAAGAATAAACATTGTAGATAATAGAAGTACCAAGTGCAGAATGCCATTTCCATGCAAATGACCCAGACAAGCAAAGCACTGACTCACCCCAAGAAGAATCTACCTGGGGGAAAAAAAAATGTTGTTTACAAGAACAATACCAGATGTTGGACTTGGAAGGCCGCGTCTTGACATTTGAAGGCTACCGAGGGAGATACAGGGACTCGAGGGCAGGCAAAGAAAAAGCAGCAGAACAGAGTTCATTTAGAAGTGACTTTACATATTAAGTTAATTCCCAGTATAATTCAAGAGTCTGATGGGGGATGGAGGAATAATGGAAAAAAAGGAGTCCTCTAAAAGTGCTGAAGAGGGAGCAAGACCCATAACTCCATCTACAAGTAATGGTAGTTGAAATTGGTTGTCCCTGATTTGAATTATCTTGATGGCATCGTTATTTTTAATTGTGATTAGTGGTTGTAATGTGCTAATAAATAAGACGAGAGACAAGGTACAACCTTGCCTTGTCCCACAAATGAGTTGGAATCGAGACTGCTGGAGGCGGGCAGGCTCTGGACCGGAGGAGCCCCAATCAGGACAGGCACCTAAGAACTAAAGGATGATTCCCGTGAGCTTTTGAGACAGAACACTTATGAGTAAATTTCCTCTACTCTGAGATCAAGCCATTCCACCAAAAAATAAGGAAGCACTGGGCTTGTTTTTCCTTACGGTAGCTCTTCTCTGGAAGAAAGTCACTCATGTGTCCCACGCACCTCGCTAGAAAGAACACTCAGAAAGCTGTTTTCCCAGCTTGTTAACAATATCATCCGTCCTAGAGCAAGGCATGGGCACGGTGACCCACTGGAAGGTTCTCCTCTAAATGCTTTGAAGATATTCTCAGTGATAGGAAATTTTGGAGGTGGTTAAGTAGGTAGGTGAGAGGTTAACTCCAGAACCAAGATGGCCAACAATCCAGGACTCCAGCACTGGCATTATATGTGTCCCCAGTAAAACCCTAAGGGAAACATATTCATTTCCTAGGACCCCCATGACAAAGGAGCGCAAAGTAGGAGACTTACAACAACAGAAATTTATTCTCTCAAAGATCTAGAGGCCAGGGAGTCTGAAATCAAGGTGTGCACAGAGCCACGCTCTCTTCCAGATTCTTGTGGTTGCCGACAACCCTTGCGTTCATGGCTGGAAGCTGCCTAACGGATCTCTGCCTCCACGGTCACAGGGCCATCCTCCCTCTGTGCGTCTGTCTCTCCACACAGCACTCACCTATTCATGTGTCTGTCTCTGTGTCTCTTCCCCTCTTCAATGACATCTGTCATATTGGATTAAGGGCTCATTCTATACCCAAGATGACCTCAGCTTAGCTTATATCTTAATTACTCTACAAAGACCCTGTTTCTAAATAAGGTAACACTCACAGGTACCAGGGGCTAAGACTTCAGCATGTCTTTTGGAAGAATGTGATTCAATCCATAAGAGGAAGTGAATTGGCGTGATTGGGGGAAAAGCTGATGGGAAAGACAGACAAAGACAATGAGAAAGAAAAGAAAAGAAAAGAAAAGAAAGAAAGAAAAGAAAAGAAAAGAAAAGAAAGAAGGAAGGAAGGAAGGAAGGAAGGAAGAAAGAAAGAAAGAAAGAAAGAAAGAAAGAAAGAAAGAAAGAAAGAAAGAAAGAAAGAAAGAAAGAAAGAAAGAAAGAGAAAGAAAGAAAGAAAGAAAAGAGAGAAAGAGAAAGAAAGAAAGAGAGTAAGGAAGGAGGGAGGGAGGGAAGAAGGGAGGGAGGTAAGGAAGGAAGGGAAGAAAGAAAAGAGAAGAAAAGAGGAAAGAGGAGGGAAAGAGGGAGGAAAGGAAGGAAGGAAGGAAAAGAGGAGGGAGACAAAGAAAAAGAAGGAAATAAAGCTGGTGGGAAAGAAAGAAGAGGAAGGAAGGAAAGAAGGAAGGAAGGAAGGAAAGAAGGAAGGAAGGAAGGAGATACTGCAACATGGAAAGGAGTCTAATTTATGTAAAATTTCTTGTGGACATTTACAGCTTTGTGATGACATATCTATTTCCATCAAGTAGATCAAGTCAATAACATTTCCTGAACTTTGGCAAGTCATATGAGCCTCTGTCTACTTAGCACTGCCCTAGGATCCCTGATCAGAGTCACCAGGGGGATAGATAGCAGCAGTGGATTCAGGCCACCCTAATTCACTCCACCTGAGACTTAGAAAGGTTATCACTTAACCCAGCTCTCATTGCTGGCAAATGGCAGATAAGATTTTAACCCAAGACATGCTCTTTTCATTGTGCTGCAATGCTTTCCTGAATGTTAATTTTAGTTGAATGAATCTGTAAATAAATTAATGAACGAACGACTGAAGAAAGTATTCAGTCAAACATGCAGTGGCCTCCAGTGCTTCTGGAGATGTTTTGGGGTCTGGAATAACACAGGAAGGTTATCTCACTTACTCATGTGATCCAGAGCTTGGTGGAAATGCAATCAGCATTCTCTGCGAGGATCCAATCTTCCAACGCCAAGCCACCAGATTAAAAATAGCCCTTTTGTCCCATCTTCTTCTTCTCCCTGAAACAGATGCTGGGGCTCAGCCTTGCCCTGCAACTCATCCTAATTTGCCTCTTGTCATTCATCCACTGTGGCTGGTCCACAGTAATGTTCTACTTTTAGGACCAGAAGAACTTGGGCTGCTGTCAAGGGAAGAGACTATTAATATCAAGTTAATGTGTGTAATAGGCTGGTCACCATGTTCCTCAATAAAGACAGCTGCTATGAATAGTAGTAGAAATATTGGTATTCACATTAGCAAGATCATGACCATTTATTTGGTTGATTGTACTAGTTTGCTAGGGCCGTTGTAACAAAGTTCAACAAACTAGCTGGTTTAAACTATAGAAATGTATTTGCTTACAACTCTTGAAGACTAGAAACCTGAGATTGAGGTGTCACCAGGGTTGGTTCATTTTTAGGGCCATCAGAGATCTGTCCTGTGCCTCTCTCCTGAGCTTGCAGTTGTCTGTCTTCTCCCTATGTCTTCCCTCTGATTCTGTGTGCAAATTTCCTCTTTTTATGAGGACACCACCATGTCGAATTAGCTCACCCTAATGACCTCATTTTAAATCACCTCTTTAAAGAAACTACCTGCAAATACAGTCACATTCAAAAGTCCTGAGGATTAAGACTTAATGGTATTAGTTTGGGGAGGGATACAATTTATCCCATAGCACTGTTTCTACTTGCAATATGGAGACCTAAGGCAAAGTCTTTTAAAAAAGGTTTTGTTTTCAGACAGAGATTCACTGTGTTGCCCAGGCTGGAGTACAGTGGTACAATCTCAGCTCACTGCAACCTCCATCTCCCAGGTTCAAGTGATTCTCCTGCCTCAGCCTCCCAGGTATCTGGGACTACAGGCACCTCCCACCACACCTGGCTAATTTTTGTATTTTTGGTAGAGATAGGGTTTCACCATGTTGGCCAAGCTGGTCTTGAATTCCTGACCTTAAGTGATCCGCCAGCCTCAGCCCAGCCTCACAAAGGCGTGGGATTATAGGCATGTGTAATCCCACCGCGCCCAGCCTAAAATCAAAGTAGAAATTACAGATCCCTACTTTCAAACTACCCATAGTCACGGACAAACTCTAAACTCCGTGTTCCTACCTCCAAGTACAAGACTGAAGTCAGGAGATGTGAGAATGAAGTGGAAGGAAAGCGGCTTTGGAAGAATTATCTGGGCTTTGAAGAGTGGGTAAAGTTGAGGTGAATGGAGGAGAGGAAAAAAGTGTGTGCTAGACAAGGGCTAGAACACAAATAACAGATCAGAGGTAGAAAGCTCATTTTTACCTCTGTTTTTGAGATTCTAGTAGTAACATTCTCCACTCCTAGATTTGCCAAAGGAAATACTCATAGCCATTCAGACTATGGTTTGGAATTCAGAGCCCTTAGAGACACTAGCTCTGTCCCATTTTGTAGCACCTCTCCGTCTTTCAAGAGTGAGCCTCCTCTTTCCGTGTGTCTGCTCTGGGGGATTATCAGACCCAGCTAATGGAGGGGAGTTAACAGGAAGTGTCAGGGAGTTTTATAAAATTATCGTGTCAACTCTCTTCCTGTCAGTGTGCATAAGGGAAGAAGACAAGAAAAATGATATTGTCGTTTAATAGTTCACTTTAGATCTTCATCTCTTATCACTCATCATTGCTCCATATTAATTACTCTGTATTGGCAATCTCTGGCTGTCAGTTGTTCCATAAAAGATCTTACTGAGCTCATGGCTGGACAGCTTTCATTAAGAAGCAATTTGAACCACATTTAACTGGAGAAGATTAACAGATTAACTGGGACCATTACCCTACCTGCCTCTCTGCCTCCAGTGAAGGTGTAGCATGGTCTTGAATCCTGGCATAGCCACTGCCTGGTTGCATTGCACTGAACATGTCACCTCGCCTCTTTGATCTCAGTATCCCAATATGCAAAATGGGACAGTACAATCCTCTTTGGAGGACTATTGTAAGGTTGTTGTTTTGTTTTGAGACAGGGTCTCCCTCTGTCACCCAGGCTGAAGTGCAGTGGCACAAATACGGCTCACTGCAGCCTCAATCTTCTAGACTCAAGCAATCCTCCCACCTTGGCATTCCAAACAGCTGGGACAACAGACACAAACCACCATATTCAGCTAATTTTTTTTTTTAGTAGAGACAGGGTCTCACTATGTTGCCCAGACTGGTCTCGAACTCCTGAGCTCAAGCAATCCTCTCACCTCAGCCTCCCAAAGTGCTGGGATTACAGGCATGAGCCACTGTGCCCAACCAAGGCTTTAAATAAATGTAAAAATATCTGACAGTCACTGGTACAGAGCTGGTGCCAGCAAATGACACCTGTTAGTATTTACACTTAGTATAAATGGAATGAGAGAAGGTTCAATGGACTTACTCCAAAACTTACCTCCCCTTTCAAAATATTACCCCCTGCTCTCATTTTTCCCATCAAGAAGGGTTCAGTTCAGCTCAGCAATCATTTACCAGGTGTAAGTGCCAGATGCGATGTCCACTCTAGGGATAGAGAGAATAACCTGGGATATCCCTAAGTCTTTGAACCTGCCAGCCACAGAAGTACATAGTTTCCTCTGCCTGGAATATCCTTTCCTGTTGACCCACCAGAAGGGGTCGCTCTCTCTGAGTTCGGTCTACATGTGCCTTTCTCTGGGAAGCCTTGTGTGATGCTCCCAAGCAGCACCCACCCTGCCTCTTTACAGCTCTTATCACAGTGGTGCTCATATACCTGTGATGTGACCGTGGGACTGCTAGCCTCTCCTGCGGATTTGCAGCTCCCAGAGGGCAGGACCACATTTGTTCTGTGCATTGTTGAATCCCCAGTGCCTGGTGCACTAAAAGGAGGGAGGATTGAAAGAGCTCACGAAGAAAAGTCAAATACAAAAACGGGGCAAAAAGATGCAATTACACCTGAGCGGAATCAACCTAGATACCGCATCAGCTTGTCCTCCTCTGGGCCATCAGCTTAGCAAAAGGCAGCTCCAGGCCAGGTGCGGTGGCTCACACCTGTAATCCCAGCACTTTGGGAGGCTGAGGCGGGCAGATCACCTGAGGTCGGGAGTTTGAGACCAGCCTGACCAACATGGAGAAACCCCGTCTCTACTAAAAATACAAAATTAGCCAGGCATGGTGGTGTGTGCCTATGATCCCAGCTACTTGGGAGGCTGAGGCAGTAGAATCACTTGAACTTGGGAGGCAGAGGTTGGGGTGAGCTGAGATCACGCCATTGCACTCCAGCCTGGGCAACAAGAGCAAAACTCTGTCAAAAAAAAAAAAAAGAAGAAAGAAAGAAAAGAAAAGAAAAAAGAAGAAAGGAAAGGAAAGGAAAGGGAAAGGGAAAGGGAGAGGAAAAGGGAAAGGCAAGGCAAGGCAAGGCAAGGCAGCTCTACCTTCTATTTCTCAATTGTTCTTTTTTGGGAGAAGGTGCAAGCAGCCCCAGAGTCCCATGGAAGCAGCTTTCTCCCAATACTCGACCCACTACCTCCCCACCAGGAGAGAAACTCCAAAGAGAGAGGGCCCTTTATTTCTCTTGCTTATTGCCATAGCAGATGAGGCACCTGAGGCTCGATCCAGAGCCAAATACGGAAGGAGAAGAAGTACAAAATTAAGATTCTGAAGACCTGAGTAGAGGCCTTGGCTTAACCACTTAGTCATGGTGTGATCTTGGGCAAATCACTTCATTTCTCTGAGCCTCGGATTCCTAAACTAGAAAATGGAAGAAAAAAAAAAAATAACACATACCTTAAAGGATGGTGGTGAGAATGAAATACAGTGAGGCTTGTAAAAATATTTGAAACCTCGGCCAGGCGCGGTGGCTCACGCCTGTAATCCCAGCACTTTGGGAGGCCAAGGTGGGCGGATGACTTGAAGTCAGGAGTTCGAGACCAGCCTGGCCAACATGGTGAAACCGTCTCTACTGAAAATACAAAAATGAGCCAAGCATTGTGGCACATGCCTGTAGTCCCAGCTACCTGGGAGGCTGAGGCAGGAGAATGGCTTGAACCCAGGAGGTGAAAGTTGCAGAGAGCCAGGATTGTGCCATTGCACTCCAGCCTAGGAAACAGAGCAAGACTCCGGCTCAAAAAAAAAAAGAACCTCTAAAGTCTAGACATCTTGGGGAAACCTTTTTTCATCATTATTGCATCAGTGCATGGGTCTTTGGAAGGCATTTTGAATGTGATTTCAACTCATTTTGCTTCAACAAACATATAGGAGACTCCTGCACATTTCCAAGCTCTAGGCTTTGCCACAGTGGCCACAAACAACAATAACAATAGTAAGAGCTACCATTTGTTGATCGCTCAAGGGTTCCAGGCACTATGCCTTGTGCTTTCAAGGCATTGCTTCATTTATCCTCACAACCCTGTTAACTGTGTTCAATTATTAATCCTGTCTTTGCAGATGAGAAAATTATACCCCAGAGAGTTAAAGTGACTCTTCTAGGGCAACACGGATAAGTGGAAGGACCAGAATTTGACCCCTGAACTCACTGAATCCAGAATCCATGCTTTTATTCAGTACCCAGAATAAACAGACAAACAACCCAATGTAAAAAAGGGTCTGTGATTTTAAAACACACTCTCCAAAAGAAAAGAAAAAGAGAAAGCGCTCAACACGATTAGTCATCAGAAAAACAAAAATTAAAACTAAACAAAATACCACTTTACATCCACCAGAATAACACTTTTTTTAAAAAAAAAAAGAAGAAAATGAATGAGACCAAATGTTCATGAAATTGTGGAGCAACTGGAACTCTTCTAAGATGCTTTAGAAATACGCTGCTTATATAACTCTTTCCAAAAATGTTAGCAGTTTTTCATAAAACCAAATATATACTTATTCTATGACTCAACAATTTCACTTCTGGCCGGGCACAGTGACTTACCAGGCCTGTTATCTCAGCAGTGAGCTGTGATCATGCTACTGCACTCCAGCCTAAGTAACAGAGTGAGATCCTGTCAAAAACGAAAAAAAAAAAAAAAAAAAGAGGCCGAGGTAGGAGGATCGTTTGAGTTCAGGAGTT